GTTGTATTTCCTGGGACACTGGTAGAAATTACACTCATGTTCATTACAGTACCAAAAAGATGACAACAGGCTAAATGCCTATCAACAGAAGAATGAGTAAACAAACTATGGTATACATAAAACAGAACACCATGCAATGGAAAAGTATGACCAATAAAACATCTCAGTAATATGGATGAACCTGGAAAACATTATGCTGAGTGCAATATGTCAATCACAAAAGGAGGGGAAAATCAAAATGATTCATGGGCTAAAGGGTAGACACTTGTTAACATGGGTGAGAGGGCAGGCATTATTCAAAAAGGGGAGGTTAGCAGAACAAACATGAAGGAAGTAGGAGACACAGGGAGTAATGCAATAGTTAAAGTGAGTAGAGAGAAATACTGTTAACTGTTGGTATGGGGAAGAGATTGCAATTATTGTAATGAAACAAAGTGTATGATTTGTTGAATATGAAACTGATAGCCTGCTATTTAAACTTTCACTTAGCTCAGAAGTTAAAAAACTTAAAAAATGCAAAAGGCTTATAGAAAGAAACACAAATTCTTTGATGGTTACTGGGATAGGAGAAGAAGACTGAGAAAATTACTAACTAGATTGTTATGGTTGTTGTTGTTAGGTGCTATCAAGTTGGTTCTGACCCACAGCGACCATACATACAGCAGAACGAAACACCACCAGGTCCTGCGCCATCCTCACTGCTACACCTGAGCCCATTGCTGCAGCTGTGTCAATCCATCCCGTTGGGGGGTCTCCCTCTTTTTCGTTGACCCTACATTTTACCTAGCATGATGTCCTTCTCCAGGGACCAGTCACTCCTGAAGATAGGTCTGAAGTATGAGAGACAAGGTCTGTCCATCTTGGCTTCTAAGGAGCATTCTGGTTGTACTTCTTCCAGCACAGATCTCTTTGTTCTTCTGGCAGTACATGGTACCTTTAATATTCTTCTCCAACACCATAACTCAAATGCATGTTGTTAAATGCCATCAAGTCAGTTTCTACTCACAGTGACCCTGTACAGTTTCTGAGGAGTGTTTGATGGGTTTGAACTGCCGATCTTGTGGCTAGTAGTCCAGTGCTTATCTTATGGCGCCACACCAGTAGACACATACTAATTTGGGTGGAGGGAAAGTCGACATGAACAAGGTAAAAGAAGACACTGGGGGTACACAAGAATAAAAGGTAACAATGGTAATGGTGAACACTGTTACATACAGAATCCTGCAATAACAATACCAACAAACAACAACTGATGCACGTTGTTGTTGTTGTTGTTGTTGTTGTTAGGTGCCATCGAGTTGGCACCGACTCATAGCGATCCTATGTACAACAGAATGAAACACTACCCGATCCTGGGCCAACCTCACAATTGTCACCACGATTGAGCCCAATGATGCTCCCATTTTGCCAATCTATCTCGCTGGGGGGTCTTCCACTTTTTCTCTGACCCTCTACCTTACCAAACATGATATCCTTCTCCAGTGACTGGTCCCTCCTGACAATATGTCCCAAGTATGAGAGACAAAGTTTGGCCATCCTGGCCTCCAAGGAGCACTCTGGCTGCACTTCTTCCAACACACATCTGTTGGTTCTTTTGGCAGTCCATGGTATTTTCAGTATTCTCCTCCAACACCATAACTCAAAAGCATCAATTCTTCTACAGTATTCCTTATTTACTGTCCAGGTTTCACATGCATGAGGTTATTCAAAATACCATGGTTTGGGTCAGGCTCACCTTAGTCCTCAAGCTGACATCTTTGCTCTTCAGCACTTTAAAAAGGTCTTGTACAGAAGCTTTGCCTAATGCAAAACGTCGTTCAATTTCTTGACTGCTGCGTCCGTGAGTGTTGATAGTTGATCCAAGAAGAATGAAGTCCTTGACAACTTCAATCTTTTCTCCATTGATAAGAATGTTGTTTATTGGTCCAGTGGTGAGGATTTTTGTTTTCTTGACATTGAGATGTAATCCATATCGAAGGCTGTGCTCATTAATCTTCATAAGTAAATGTTTCAAGTCCTCTTCACTTTCAGCAAGCAAGGTTGTATCATCTGCATATCGCAGGTTGTTAATGAGACTTCCTCCAATACTTACTCCACATTTTTCTTCATAGAACCCAGCTTCTCAGATTATTTGCTCAGCATACAGGCTGAATAAGTATGGTGAAAGAATACCAACCCTGTTGCACACATTTCTGAATTTTAAACCATTCAGTGTTCCCATGTTCTATAAGAACAACTGCTTTTTGGTCCATGTTCAGATTCCTCATGAGCACAGTTAAGTGTTCAGGAATACTCATACTTTCCAATGTTGTCCACAGCTTGACATGATCAACACAATCAAAAGACTTTGCATAGTCAATAAAGCACAAGTAAACATCTTTCTGATATTCTCTGCTTTCAGCCAAGATCCATTGAGCATCAGCAATGATATCTCTCGTTCCATGGCCTCTTCTGAATCCGGCATGAACCTCTGGAAGTTCTCTATCAATGTATGCTTGCTGCCATTTCTGTATTACCCTTAATAAAACTTTACTCACATGGGATATATCAAAGATATTGTCCGATGATTTTTGCATTCCATTAGGTCACCTCTCTTTGGAATGGGCACAAATATTGGATCTCTTCCAATCAGTCGGCCAGATAGTTGTCTTTAAAATTTCTTGGCATAGATGAGTGAATGCCTCCAGTGCCGCCTCACTTTCTTGAAAGATTTAAACTTTTATTCCATCTTTTCCTGGTTTCTTGTTCTTTGCCAATTCCTTCAATGCACTTCTTCCTTCAGTATCATTGGCTCTTGATCATATATGCTACCTCTTGAAATGGCTGAACATCAACCATTTCCATTCGGTACAGTGATTCTATGTATTCCTTCCATCTTCTCTTGATGCTTTTTGCATCATTCAATAATTTGCCCAGAGAATCCTTCAATAACGAAAGCCAATGCTTGAATTGTTTCTTCAGTTCCCCCAGCTTGAGAAATGCTGAGCGTGTTCTTCCATTTTGGTTTTCTGACTCCAGATCTTTGCACATTTTATTATAAAATATTTGACTTTGTCTTCTCAAGCTGACCTTTGAAATTTTCTGTTCAGCTCTTGGACCTCCTCATTTTTTCCATTTGCTTTAGCATCTCTACACTGGAGAGCAAGTTTCAGTGTCTCTTCTGACATCCATTTTGATCTTTTCCTTCTTCCTTGTGTTCTTAATGACTTCTTGCTTTCTTCCTGTATGATATTCTTGATGTCATCCCACAACCCTTCTGGTCTTCAGTCTTTAGTGTTTAATGTATCAAATCTGTTCTTCAGATGATCTCTAAACTCAGGTGGGATGTATTCAATGTCATATTTTGGCTCTTGTGGACTTGTTTTCATTTTCTTCAGCTTCAGTTTGAATTTGCATACGAGCAATTGATGGTTTGTTTCACAATCTGCCCTGGCTGTTTTTACTTATGATATGGAACTTTTGCATCATTTATTTTCACAGATGTAGTCAACTTTATTTCTGTGTATTCCATCTGGTAAGGTCTGTATAATCATCTCTTATGCTTTCTAAAGAAGTATTTGAAATGAACAAATTATTGATTTTGCAGAATTCAATCATGCGATCTCCAATACAGATGCAAAAAAACTTATTGCCATCAAGTTAATTCCACCTCACAGTTATCCTTTAAAACAGTAGAAGTGCTCCACAGAATTTCTGAGGCTGTAAATCTTAATGGAAACAGACTGCCTTATCTTTATCTTGTAGAGCAGCTGGTGGGTTTGAACCACCAATCTATCAGTTAGCAATCCAACACTGAATGTACTGTGCTACCAGTGTTTTGTTTTTTTTTTATACTAATAGACACATTTGTAGATTTGTAAGTAGAATAGGTGTGTGAAAACATCCATGAATATTTATATAGATAGGTTTAGCAGAGGAGAGTTCTATGTTTTTGTACGTGCTAAAGATGTATCTATGTATATAGTAGAACATATATATCAAGGGGTAAAGTTATGAAAATGTTTAGTCATAACAAATACCTTGAAAGACTGAGTCATTGGCTGGGGACTCAGGACCATAGTTTCAGGGGACCTCTTGGTCAATTAGCATAATATAGTCCATAAACACAATGTTCTATATTTTACTTTAGTGAGCAGTGAGCATTGACTGGGGTCTTAAAAGCTTGCAAGGGGCCATCTAAAATGCTATTATTGGTCTGTTCACATCCACAGCAAAAAAGAGCCAAGAAAATCAGACTTACAAAAACAGTTACTCCTAAGGAGTAATGGAACATATGAACCACAGTCTCCACAGAAGAATCAAATGGTTCCGGCTCTCATTACCAATTCTGTGATAAGGATTACAACAGAAGCTCCTGGACACAGAACAATATTCAAAATCCTAAACTGATCAGATTTACTGGGCTGATAGAAACGGTGGAATCCCCTGACTATGATCCTTAGACACCGTGCAAATCTGAAAGTGAATCTGTCAACCCCGGGAAGCACCTTGCAGTCAAACATAAGACACGTCTATAAAGTGAACAGTAACATACATGAGATACAGATTTCTTAGAACAACCAGCCGTATGAAATCAAAGGGGCAGCATTTGCCCAAAAATACATTTCAGAAAGCAGAAAGAGGTAGGAAAGTAGGACGAATGAACACAGGTAACCCAGGGAGGAAGTGGGAACAAGACTGTTCCATTAAGGGAATTGTTGAAAGTAAACTTACACCCAAACCACATTAAAATGTTCCAAAACAAAAAGAATTAAAAGCACTAATCACAGAAACATGTCATATCCTGAGCTTGCTCACAAATGGGAACTTTCCATGTGAAAGCTTAAACACATCAAAGACTGAAGGCCAAGGTACAGTTCTACATTTCACAGATGTTTGGGGAGGAAAAAAATGTTATTTAGAGACTGCTGGATTAACTAAAATACATTTCAAAACTTGTTATCCCCTATAATTAAAGAACACAACTACACTGAGAAAAAACAACATTAATGGCAACTCACCAACTGTGAGGAATGCTTCTGACTGCACCGTACCATGTTCATTTGTAGCTTCACAGATGTATTTCCCAGCATGTTTCTGACTAACAGCCTGAATATAGAGAGAACTTAAGCCAGCTCGCGACATTACGAAGTAAGCAGGGTCCAGGTTAACAGCTTCAGGCTTCGCTAAGTGTGATCTTGGGGATTTAGATCGAAGGATCTGAGATGGGTGGCTGGTTATCAACCCATGGCTGTCATACCAACGAAGGATTGGAACTGGCAGTCCAGTGGCATTGCAGAACAAAGTAACAACATCTCCATCTACCACCTTTGCACTTGCTGGTGCTGTAATTATAACTGGCTTGAATCCATTGTCTATTAAAAAAAGTAATTCATATACAAAACATTAAGAACATTATAGTACATAAAACACAAAATAATTCCATCCTATTGCATGAATGTTTTAGTAATGATCAGAACAATGTTCACCAATAGAAAATGTCAATGAATGTAGACTTCATCTTACTCTGCGGCCACAAAACATTCATTCCTATGTAGATGTATTGTCCTTCAAAAAGAAAGAAATGTACACACAAAAAAATATTAAGAGCTTTCTAAAAGTATATTATACATATCTGACTACTATAAATACAGAACATATGAAACCAAACCCTTGAAACTTAAATGTGAAAAAGATATAAAGAAGCATAAGGCTAAATACAGTTCTTTCAAGAAAAGTCAATTCTAGGGGAGCAAAACAAAACAGCATAAATACAAAAAGCCTAGAGCAGGGAGGTGTGGATGCGGGTTAAAGGTGATAAGCTTACTTCTTACCACAGACATAAACAACATTTTTGTTTCAATACTAAAGTGGCACCAGCTGTTTCCTTTTGGTCCCAGATCCTCTCTGGGAGTATTTTTAAGTGACACTACAATGGAATAAGGACATATTGTCAAGAGGGACCAACTGCAGGAGAAGGATATCATGTTTGGTAAAGTGAAGGATCAGAGAAAAGGAGAAAGACCCCCACCCAGCGAGATGGATTAGCAAAGTGGCAGCAGCAATGGGCTCAAGCATGTCAACAATTGTGAGGTTGGCCCAGGACCAGGCAGTGTTTCATTCTGTTGTACATAGGGTCGCTATGAGTCAGTACCAACTCGATGGCACCTAACAACAACAATGAAATACTGATCAACACAAATGATGCTTCCTCTAGTATTTCCCTCTTTTCCCTGTCCTACCTACTGCCACTGAGTCACTGCCACTGAGGAGAAGCTGCTCCTAAAGGTTTTCAAGACTAAATATGGCAGCAGACAGCTTCATCTTTCTCCTTTGGAGCAGCTATTGCATTTGAACAACTACACTAGTAGTTAACATCCCAATACTTAACCCATTATGCCACTAGGGCTCTACTGAAGCTAAATTCCTACTTTTAACAAAACCAACCAACACTAGGCACTATCAGACTTCTTAATTTTTGCTACTCTAGTTGATATCTAGTGTGGTACTGTGGGTTAATGCACTGGACTGCAAGGCCGGTTTGAACCACAAGGTTGGTGGTTCAAGCTCACTAGTTACTCCTCAGAAACACTCTGCAGGGTCCCTATGAGTCAGAACCAACTAGATGGCACATAACAACAAGTGGTATCTCACTATTAGTTAAAGTGATGGACTGCAAGGTCAGTCTGAACCACAAAGTCAGTGGTTCAAGCTTACTAGCCACTCCTTGGAAACCCTATACAGGGATGCTGTGAGTAGAATTGACTGGACGGCACTTAATGAAAAATTACAAAGTGGCATCCCACTGACCACAACCTGTATTTCCCTGAGTACTTATAATGGTTGGACATTTTTTTATGTGTTTATGTTCCATTCATCTTTTTAATCCACTGTCTTTTGAAGTTTTTTCTATAGGATCATTTATCTTTTTCTTAATGCTACAGAGAAGTTCCTTATGTATACTGTTGTTGTTGTTGTTGTTATGTGCCGTGGAGTTGTTTCCGACTCATAGTGACCCTGTACAGGGTTTCCGAAGCTGTAGGTCTTTATGGGAGCAGAAAGCCTCATCTCTCTCCCACAGAACAGCTGGTAGCTTCAAACTGCTGTCCCTGAGGTTCGCAGCCCGATTTGTAACCACTACGCTACCAGAGAACACTAACTACATATATTTTGCTAGTTATATATGTTCATAGTATTTATCACATTTCTTGCTTTTCTTTTCATTTTTTTATGATATCTTTTAATAGTCAACTTTATCCATCTTTTTGAAAAACTAGCATTTTAAATTAAATGTTTTGTTAAATGTGTCTACCCAGAGATATCTAGATATTCCCTATGTTCTCCACAGAAGCACTTACATTTTGCTTTTATATTTAAGTATTAGCTCCATTGTCAATTCATCTTTGTATATGAAGTGAGTTAGAGATTTAATTTCACTGTTTTCTTCATGGTGAAAACATTTCACCTCATTATCTGAAATTTGACATCCCTTCTCTGATGTGAGCTGGTAGCGCCATCTCAGTCAAGTCATTATGCACTAATGTCTCTTTTGGCAATTTCTATTTTGTTCCATGAGTCTATTTCTGTTCTTGCACATAACTTTCTGAATTACTATAGATTTAAAAATAAATTTTAGTATCTTATAAGACAAGTCTTCCAAGTTCTTTTTCTTCTTATTTTAGGAGTATCTGACCTATTCTTGGGCCTTTGAGTATTCTCAGATAAATTTTAGAATCAATTTTTCTGGGTTCTCAAAATACTCTTATGTATTAAATAGAAATTTTATGAATCAAAAAACAGTTTTGGGGATATCCAACAACTATATGATGCTGAATTTGGGTAGCCATGAACTGTAATATTTCCATGTAATAGAGTCTTCTTTAATAAAAAGCTAATTTTTAAATTATATTTTGTTTGTTCCTAATAGTTTGTTGGCAGATTATTAGAAATAATAAGAGTGTTTAATAAGCTATCTGGATGAAGATCAACTAATTCTTGTTCCTTGATCTTCATCCAGACACCTTGGCAAATATTTTTTATTATTTCTAATAATTTGCCAACAAACTATCTAGAACATTCTGTTGACAATTATATCATTTGTAACTTAATAAAACTATGGCTACTTTTTTTAATCCTTAAATCTTTTATTTCTGTTTCTTGAGGCTCATTAGGGTTCTCAAGTATAATCATGAATATAAGATACTATACAGGGAAAGCTTCTAACATTTCACCATTAAATATGATGTTTTCTTAAGTTTTCACTAAATATTCTTTATCAAGTTAAGAAAATGTTCTTCTATTTCCACTTTTCTAAGAGTGTCTAACATGAATAGATAATTTGTGAAACGTTTTCTGAGATGATCAAATTGTTTTTCTCCTTTATTTAATAAGAAGGGTAAATAAAATTTAAATTTTTTTAATGGATTCCAAGGATAACTCCTTGGTCAAGATTCATTTTCTTTTTTATACATTGCTGAGCTGTCAATATTTTTTTAAAGATTTTTGTACCTACATTCATAACACAAGAAAAGATGAAGCTGTCTGCTCCCTTCAAGAGTTAGTCTTGAAAATACTACGTAAGGTGGCTATGAGTTGAAACTGACTTGATGGTAGCGAGCTTGCCTGGGGTAGGATTTGTAATTGAGATCGAACTTTAATTTTCCTTTCTTGTACTATCTTTTGTAACTGCAGAATCAAGATTATACTGCCTGAACATCAGCAAAAACAAATAAAAAATGTATGTGCAAGTATATATGTATCTATGCAGGCACATATGTATATGGTGGTAGGTAGTGTGCCATGGAGTTGGTTCCAACTCATAGTGACCCTATATAGGATTTCCAAGGCTGTAAATCTTTATGGGAACAGAAAAATAGATTCAAACTTCTGACCTTGAGGTTAGCAGCCCAACTCATAATCTACTACGTTACTAGGAATTATTAGATATATATGTGGTTAAGTGCCATCAAGTCATTTCTGACTCATAGTGACCCTGTATAGGGTTTCTGAGGAGCGGCTGGTGAGTCTGAACCGCCAACCTTGCTATTCAAACCAATCTTGTAGCTGAGTGCTTATCCTACAGTGCCAATTGTTGTTGATGTTAAGTGCCATTGAATCTATTCCAACTCAATAGTGATCCTGTACAGGGTTTCCAAGGAGCAGCTGGTGAGTGTGAACTGTCGACCTATGGTTCAAACCAACCTTGCAGTCCAGTGCTTTATCCCCCAGCACTACGCATGTATATATAAATACATTAGTTAATAAGCCACAAAATAATGCCAAGTTGTATTTTTCATAAGAATTTATGCATATTTGCCAATATTTATAAATTTCTGGTATAAAGTATATCAGGCTGCTGCTGTTAGGTACTGATGAGTTGCTTCTGACTCATAGCTATCCTATGCACAACAGAACAAAACACTGCCTCATTACTGTCCCATTCTCACAATTGCTATGTTTGAGGTCTTGTTGCAGTCAGTATCTCATTGAAAGTCTTCCTCTTTTTCACTGATCCTCTACTTTACCAAGCATGATGTTGTCCTTTTCCAGGGAATGGTCCTACGTGACAACATGTCCAAAGAACATGAGACAAAAAGTCTTGCCATCCAGGCTTCTAGAGAACATGTCAGAAATACTTCTTCCAAGACAAGATATGCTTATTCTGCTGGTAGTCCATGGTGTAGTCAATACTCTTCAACAATACTATAGTTCAAATACTTTAGTTCTTCAGTCTTCCTTATCCAGTGTCCAACTTTTGTATGCATATGAGGCAACTATATGCATATGAGACGTGGGTCAGGCACACCTTAGCCCTCAAAATGACATCTTTAATCTTTAACACTTTACAGAAGTGTTTCGCACTACATTTGCCCAATGCAATACAATGTTTCATTTCTTGATTGCTGTTTCCATGGGTGAAGACTATGGATCCAAGTAAGTATAAATCCTTAACAACATCAATATTTTCTCCATTCATTATGATGCTATTTACTGGTCCAGTTGTGAAGATTCTTGTTTTCTTTACGTTTGGTTGTAATCCATATTGAAAACATTGTAGCCTTTGATCTTCATCAAAGTGCTTCAAGTCCTTTTCAACTCTGGGCAAGCAAGGTCATGTTATTTAAGTATCACAGGTTACTAATAAGTCATCTTCCAATCCTGATGCCATTTTTTCTTCATAAATCCAACTTCTCAGATTATATGTTCAGCATACAGACTAAGTATGGTGAAAGGATACAACCCTGACACATACATTTCATGAGTTTTGTCAATGGTCTTGATATTTTGTATCTCTATAACACTTGAGCTTATAGCCCTTTTTAATTTTCATTTATATATGCTTTTATTTTTCTTGGTTAATTTTGCCTAAGATTACCATTTTATTAAATTTTATTTTAAAAATTACTTTTATCTTTATTAATTCTACTTTATCTTTGTTTTCCATTTAGTTGATTATCTTTATAATCTCCTTTCTTTGAATTCATTCTGTTTTTATTTTCTTTTATAAGCATTTAAGCCTATAAATTTCAGTCTAAGGTTCATTTTTGCTGTATTACACACACTTGATATGGCATTTTCAATATCATTCAGATCATAGTTTTTTTAAATTTCCATTATGATTTTAATTTAAATTTCCAAATTCATGGTGATTTGTAAAATTACACATTAATTGCACTAGATACAGTATGATATGCTGTATATCATATTGATTCCTTGACATTTAGGACATGCTTTACAGCCTACTGGACGGAACAGTCTATTGTTAAAGTATTTCATGAATGGTTAGAAGAAAATGCATATTTTCTAATTGTTAAGTGTAGAGTTCTAAAGATGTTCAGCAAATCAATACTCTAAATTACATATCGTTCAAATCTTCTGTGCCTGTACAGATATTTATTTATTTTTGGAGGGGGATTCTGTTTAACCTATTAATAACTGAGAGCAGTATTTGGTAGTTAATCACTGAAGAGGGTCCTCATGCTCTGGTGTAGCCTTCCCTTCCCTTGAATCTCAGCTCTCCACATGAATCAGTTGTGACTATAAAAAGCACTGGAAACGATACAGTGTAACTTGGTAGGGTTAGGTCAGAGAAATCTTACTAGTTGTGGTTACCCATTTGCACCACCCAAGAAACCCTTTATAAAAAAATTTTATAACAGTTACTGCATATCAAAAACTAATCTAATGCACAACCTTGGAACTACAGTGCTCTCGGATACAGAGATTGAGACATGGCTGGAATGGGGAAAAGGGAGGAATAATGTTAAGATGCTTGGTTGTCTTTTGAATCTTGGTTTTCCTTGCATTATAATATAAAATAGACACTGGAGGGGGAGAGAAAGGAATAGTCAGAAACATCACCATAGAAAGCTTTTAAGTCCGTCTTCTGTCTATAACTGACTGGAACACCTAAAATGGGGCTACAATGTGCCCAGTGAAGGAGGCTCCCTGTGGAGCCTCTGCAATACATAAGACTATAGGTAGAAGCCTGAACCATATCCAGATCTCCAGAGGTAGGAAATTTCCACTTGAAAGGACGAGCAGACCAGCCTGGAACGGCTAGAAGAATAGAAGAAACTTCTTGAAAGAAAGACCTACAGGAAAAATACAAAACAATAGAGGCAGACGGACTGTTACTACAAGAACAAACAAGTTGCTTGCCCAGCAAACATCAAGGCAAGTGATTGGGTCCCCTCACTGCAAACCCCCTTCCAAGACTCAATGGGAATACACGCTCTGATTGGTGACCACGCTTGTCACCAATAAGGGGAAGTGAGGGAAAAACAACAATGAAGTGGCGAGCTAAGCCCTACAATATGGAGAGTGAAGCATTCAGCTGATAAAAAGAGAGGGCATACGCACAAGAACACCCACACTTGCAGATAATACCCACTTGACCTGGCTTTAATGACTGGATGATCAGAGCTCAACCAGAAAAAGAAAGAAGAGGAAAAAAAGAGTAATCTGATGCAATTTGATGAACTTGACCTACATCTATGGAAGCAGAAGGTCAAAAGAGGGAACAAATTCTTACAGCAAAAATCATTCCCACCCCCTCCTTACACATAGTAGACAGGGATGGGCAACTTGGACACTGGCTACCCAAAATGGGGTGGTAGGGCTACAAAGGCAAGAAGTGACTGGCTTACAAGCTTTCAAGAGGGAACCTAGATACAGGGGTCCTGGAGGAAGGCAGAATCTCCAGTGAGTAGCATCCAATCTGCCTAGGCGGAGTTGATGAAATGAAATGCAGATGGGTCTCTTGTGATACAACAGTGAATAATTGTTATCAGTACTGATTGTGAAGGTTGGAAATGTAAAGGTAGACATTTTATAGCAAGGAAGGAAGTGATTAACTTTTCAGTTTAGGAGCAGAGGTCCCTAGGACCATCAATGGAGAAGAGCCGAGAGCAGCACCCTACCCAGAGAAACAGTGATGCCTGAGATGGAGGCAGAGACAAAGATGTGGAGACATGGAGCAGCAGGGGGCTTTAGATCCAGAGAGGGAGAGCGACTGTGAGCTAAAGAGTGGGAGGGAGGGATAGTGTAGGGGGCAGGCTTGCAGGGTATACTCTTTGGTTGGTTGATGATGCATGGAGGGGATTGTAACCATGGCAATGATACGATGTACGATAGAATGAATGTAAAACTAACGTTCTCCCATGTAAACTATCATATAATTCACAATAAAACACTAAAAAAAAAAGGTTCAAGAACAAAGATGTACATTTGAGGATTAAGGTATGCATGTGAAGTTGGACAATGAATAAGGAAGACCATAGAAGAATCGATACCTTTGAATTATGGTGTTGGCAAAGAATTTTAAGTGTATCATGGACTGCCAGAAGAACAAACAAATTTGTCTCAGAAGAAGTACAGCCAAAGGAGGGATGGTGAGACTTCGTCTCTTTTCCTTTTGGCATGTTGTCAGGAGGGATCATTCCTTGATGAAAGACATCATGCTTGGTAAAATGGAGGGTAACAAAAAAAGAGGAAGATCTCCAACAAGACAGATTGACATAATGGTCACAGTGATGGGATCAAACAATAATTGTTAGGACGGCACAGGACCAGACAGAGTTCTGTTCTCCTGAGCATAGGGTTGCTACGAATCAGAACTGACTCAACAGTATCTAACAACACAACAACATAGTATAAACTTTTATGCACTGAGAAACTAAGAAATGCATTTGACTTGTTTTATTGCGATATTTGCTTTATTGTGGTGATGTGAAACCAAACCTACAATAGCTCTGAAGTATGTCTGTACTGTTTTTTATGCAGTGAATAAGATAGAACAATGATGTTTAGGGAAAACCAGTCTAGGTGTGGTGTGCTGCTCTCATTCCCTTGAGTGGTCACCATTCATTGCTTGGGTCATCTGCTACTGGAGAATTGTACAGGCTTGTTGTATATTAGCCGAGCCTCCCACAAGGACTTCACCTAAAGATGCTCTCATGTTTTGCCTTCTATGTTTTGAAAGTGCTACAAAAAGAAGTCTCATGAGGTCTTTTTAGTATTAGTTGTAAAAGACATTGTTAACATAAACTCAGAGTGCGCCAAATAAAAGGCATTTCCATCAGAATTTAATTCAATTCATTTTCTCTGTCCTGGAAGACTGATAATTGATTGTTGTTGTTGTTTGTTTTGTTCTTCCTCCTTCCTGTAAAGACAGCTATACATAAAAAGCTGTCTTTAAACAACCCTAATCTAATACATAATGATCTATGAATCAATAAGAAAAAAGACAAGGAATCTAATTTCAAAATGGGCAAGACCATCACTAGTCAATACACAGAAAAGCAAATGCAAATGGCTTCTAAGTATATGAAAAGATACCCAACTTTACTCATAATAAAAGAAATGCCGATTTTAAAATAATGGTTTAGTTTATGGGATTGACAAAGGTTTTTAAAAAAGCTGACAATAACTTGCTTTGGTGAGGGTATAGAGAAACACATACTGTTATAGAATGCTGGTGGGAGAATAAATGTATTCAATTATGTAGAACAATTTACTATTATTTATCAAAACTGCCTATTCATATATGTTTCTATTCAGCAAGTTCATTTCTAGGAAGTTATTTTATAGATACTTGCACATGTGCAAAATACTCTACATATGTATTTACTGTAGCTCTACTTGTAACAGCAAAAAATTAGAAAGGACTATCAATAATGTATTAGTCAAATCATTAAAACTATACAATGGAATATTAAGCATTTAATTTAAATTTAAAGAGGATTTAATTTAATTTAAAGAGGAATGAGAATACCTTTTTATGGACCATATGGGAAGACATCCAAGATATATCCTAAGTGAAATTTTTTATGTAAAGCAAGCTACCACCATTTATATAAAAACAAAAACAAAACAACAAAAAAATTTTTTTATAAAATGCCTATACATACCCATGTGTATGTAACTGCTTATATATGCACATTGAAGGATATTCAAGAAACGATGAAACAAGTTAATACTGAAGTGGAGAACTAACTAGCTGGGAAATACTCATTAAACTATGTAGCATCTCTTGAAAAGAAATTAAAAAAAATTTTTAATGATCTTGACAAGGAAATGGCTATAAGGAACTAGAAAAACAAACATGGAAGCTGAACACAGTTCTGTTATGGTTACAGAATTCTTTTAATAAATATTATTTCATTCTTAACCATATCAACAGTCTATCAATAAAATAAAAATTCCTATATTGCAGGACCTACAAGCCTACCTTTTTCAATTTCAAGTCTCCCAGTAGACTGCATAAATCCAATCCCATTATCTGCTATACACTGATACAGCCCAGAATCTTCCATGGTAACATCACTAATTTTCAATCCATTTCCTGCAGTTAGATGGCGTGGAGAAGGATGAACAGGTTGTGCATTATGAAACCAGGTACAGTTGGGGACTGGGTTACCATGAACATCACAAGAAAAATGTACTGTGGCACCCAGAGACACTGTCTGATCCTGCAGTCCTTTAGAAATTGAAGCATGTTCTGAAAATAAAACAATAAATTAAACTCTAGTCCTTAAAGAGTCCTGCTTAGCTTATCCTGTAGGATAAGCACTTCTACTAAACATGAGATTGGCTGTTCAACCCCACCAACCAAACCACTCCTTGAATACCCTGTACAGCATGGCTATGAGTCGGAACTGACTCGACAACACTTAACAACAACCACCTCTCAAATTATCACTTGAGTCATATAAAGTCTTCGCTCAACCAATAACTAGATGAAACTAAGTTGCACTGTTTATTGGCATTCTCCTATCTGCTGTGGTCATCAAGAAAAAAATAGATATGAATTTTAGCTTTCCTTTAAGAGGATGAATCTTATGTTATTAATACATTAGTCTCTTTTTTATGCCTTTCTCCTCCCACTCGCTCATCTCTCACTGCTGTCTTGTTAGGTGCCAAAGAGTTGGTTCTGACTCATATCGACTCCTGTATAGGGTTTCTGAGGCTGCAAGTCTTTACAGGAGAAGAAAGTCTCATCTTTCTCCCGACATCTCCCACAAAAAAAAAAAAAAAAAAAACCACAAATATTCACACCCACCCACAAACAGTTTCAAATCCTGGGCTTCGATCAGCATTTTTTTCAGGCAGTTGGTTTGAAATAAAGCAAATGTTTTCCTGAATTTCATACTAAATAACAACCAAAAATAAACAAGGTTTATTCAAAGGTCAATTCTACTTTGAAGTTGTTGCCATTAAGTGTCATTGAATGAGTTCCCACTCATAGTGACCCTGTATATGGTTTCCAAGGAGAGGTTGGTGGGTTTGAACTGCTCACCTTGCAGCTAAACAGGCTAGTGCTTATACTACTGAAACACAGGTATACTAAAGAGAAATTTTCCTTAAATCCTTTAAAGTCACATTTTCCTAGACACTAACCACTCATCAACATTTATGGTGTATGTCCAAACCAAATGATCCAACTCTAACTAAAAAGAGCTCTGGTAGCTCTTTTTACAAGTGGGTCAGCAGTTCGAAACTACTAGCTGTTCCACAGGAGAAAGATGAGGCTTTCTGCGCCCATAAAGATCTACAGCCTCAGGAACCCTGTACAGGGTCACTATGAGTCAGAACCGACTCCTCGGCACATAACCACCACCACCAACCCTGATTATCACTGTATTTTAAAGCCTATTGGCCATACACTCAGACTAATTTCAGTGTTGCTGACTTACATCACTGCTACAAAGAAACACATGCAGAGGAACTACAACATTTTATTATATTAAGACTCTACTTCTCATTCATTTTTCTCCTGGTTTTCATGAAAATATACTGATAGAAGACAACATTGACAGGTACCACATAAATATGTGAGATAAATATGTGAAGTAGCTGAAAAAAAGGTAGTAATTCTGAGACTAAGAGAATATACTGCAATGTGGTTGGAAATAATGCAATTTAATGAGCCTACGTGTGAAGCAGACATAGGTGAAAGTATCTTGAAGGGCAGACAAGATGAAATAGATATCCTTGTGAGTTGGCATGTTCTAGTCAGTGCTGAATTTTTCCCAACCAACTGACAGCACCTAACAACAACAACTGAGTCTTTCTTCTCCCTCCTGGATGCTACATATTAATACAGCCTAGAAGTGCCCAGTTACTGATTTCCAGTCCCTTTCCTTCATGACATGGAACCAAGAACAAACTCTGCATTATATAACCAGTTGGAGGTGAAGTTCCCAAGAATATCTCATGTGAAACCATGTTTTGTGCCCCTCAGAAATTTAAGGGGCAAAAAAACTGCCTAATTTAGCAGTCCTTAAGAAAAAAATAAAGCTACTAGCATAGATATTTCCAGGTCTTGTTTCATTTTTAGTTTATAAATTGATCTCCCATTCAAACATCCATGAGACCAGCAAAAAGCTTGACTGAAAAAACCAAAACTGTAGTCAATATCATCTTACCAAGAACATTCACCATGTAAGTCACATGCTTTAGGTTCCCAGACTTGTTTCCCACCACACAAGAGTAGTTTCCAGAGTCCAATGGGTCAATGCTATCCGTGGTAAGATGCGAATACAACCGTCTCCAACTGCTTCCCAGCACAGCATCCTGGCCATCCTTCAACCAGTACACTTGAGAAATGGGGACTCCCCTCACTACACACTCCAGGGTTACAGGACTATGAGAAAGAACAGCTAGTGACTGAGAAAGAGTGGGGTGAAGAATGTAAAAATCATCTGAAGAAGGGCCTAGAAAAAGAAGGGAAACCAGAATTCGTTAAGAATTCACTTCCAATTTCTTTCCTAACAAAACTATGAACAGCCCCACTATCTTATTTACTCTGCTTTATACTACAAGGTCCTAGGCAGTAGTGAAACCATTTTCAGTTGAGAATAAAAATTAAAAGATGTTGTAGTCCTTTAGAGATATTTCAGAAATAGCAGTTTGAACTCTAGATATCTAAAGAAGTTCTGAAACCACTACCTTATTATACTTTTTTAAAAAAATGTTTTATTGTGAATTATGTGATAGTTTACAAGGGAGAACATCAGTTTTACATTTATCCTATCCTATATCATTTCATTGCCATGGTTACAATCCCCTCCATGCATCATCAACCAACCAAAGGGTACCTTATTGTACTTTTCAGTATTAGTTCTATCCCAACTCAACTACCAGAATCTAAAATTCTAAATTCAAAGAAAACAGATACGTTTCTAAAAGTTTTATAATTTAGTCAGCCATCAATAAAGTTATATTTTCTCTACAATTTTCTTTTTGTTTGCATTATATTTTCAAAACATGTGCAGTACTACTATAAAATGCATTAGTGTTTACTTTTAAAAAAGATTTTAGGACAAATAGAATCTGAAAGAAAAATGAACTCTCATATTCCAACTTTTCATAAGAGATTTTTTTTTAAGGACTTCTCTTCTTCTAATTACCATTATTCTCCCAAATACTTACGACTCACAAGGAGCTTTTGGCCAATGGGTTCAACTTTCAGTTCCTGTGTCACAGGATTATACACTGCACATTTATATGATCCCCTGTCCTCTAAAGATACATTCAAAATCTGAAGATTTCCTGATGGAAGGATTAAGTAATTATCTGAAGAAGGAAGAGAGAATAGAGTTATGCTTCTCTCATTTACTGACGGATATCACAAAACAAGCAGAAACTAACAATGGTTGATTGATAGGGTTTTAATTTAGACAAATAGTGGTCAAGGAAAACTCGTGAAATGAAGGAAAAGGAAAAACAAAGCGTTAACAGTACTAAAGTAACAAAATCAAACCTATCATTAATATTTTAACAAAAGACCACACATTGAGAATACCGAAAACAAAAGATACTTGTTTAGAGAAAGACATAAAATCTAATTTGCCAACCTACCTAAAAACAAACAAAAACCCCAAACTCACTGCCACTGAATTGATTCCAACTCCTGGTAAACTCGTGTTGTGCAGATTAGAACTGCTCCATAGTGTTTTCTTGTAATCTTAATGGAATGGAGTGCCTGGGTACTGTAAATTGTTAAACTTTCAGCTATTTAAAAAAAAAAAGGTGGGTGTTTAGAACCCACACATGGGTGCCTCAGAAGTAAATACTGGCAATATGCTTCCCAAAGGTCACAGCCATGGAAACTATGGAGGACAGCTGTAATCCGGAGTTGTAATAGACTTGACAGCAAACTACAATAATTTGTTTGTTTGTTTTTAAAGGTTTTTATTGTGGGTTAAGTAAAAGTTTACAGGGAAGATCATCAGTTTTACATTCAGCAAATCATACACCTTGTTTCATTATGATGATTATAAACCCCTTCATGTACCATCAGTTAACAGTATTTCTCTCTATTCACCTTAGTTGTTTTGTTTTTTTTTTGGTCAATATGGACTCGATGGCACCTAACAACAAGAACAAAAAACAGGCATATGTAATAATTTACACCACCAAGGAAGAAGAAGTGACGAATTACTTCCGAATATTTAGTCAATGAAAACCTTATGAATAGTAGAGAAACACTGTCAGATATAGTGCCGGAAAATGAGTCCCTCAGGTTGGAAGGCACTCAAAATGCGACTGGGGAATAGCTGCCTCCTCAAAGTAGAGTTGACCATGATGACACGACTGGAGTAAAGCCTGTGGGAGAAAAGCCCTGGGTACCTTCATTTGCTGATGGGTACAAATTAAAATGAAGAGAAACAGCTGTGAACATCCACTGAAAATCGGAACATGGAATGTACGAAGTATGAAACTGGGAAAATTGGAAGTTGTCAAAAATGAAATGGAACGCATGAACATAGATTATCTTAGGCATTATTAGTGAGCTGAAATGGACTGGTATTGGCCATTTTGAATCTGACAACCACATGGTTTGCTATGCCAGAAATGACAAATTGAAGAGGAATGGTGCTATATTCATTGTCAAAAAGAACATATCCAGATCAGTCAGGAGGTACAACGCTGTCTGTGATAGGATAATATCCATGCACCTACAGGGAAGCCCAGTTAATACCACTATTAGTCAAATTTACGCACTAAACACTAAAGCCAGTGAGGACAAAATAGAAGAATTCTACCAATTTCTTCAACCTGAAATCGATAAAACATGCAATCAAGATGTATTCATCATTACTGGTGATTGGAATGCAAAGGTTGGGAGCAAAGAGAAAGGATTAGTAGTTGAAAATATGGCTTTGGTGATAAAAATGATGCAGGAATAGAAATACTGGATAGAAATGATGATAGAATTCTGCAAAAATCAGTGATTTGTTCATTTCAAATACCTTCTTTAGACAGTATAAGAGACTACACATGGACCTCACCAGATGGAATCAAATTAACCTCACACAGAAATCAAATTAACTATATCTGTGGAAAGAGATGATGGAAAAGCTCCATTACCATCAGTCAAAACAAGGCCAGGGGCAGACTGTGGAACAGAACATCAATGACTCATATGCAAATTCAAACTAAGCTGAAGAAAATGAAAATAAGTCCACCAGAGCCAAAATATGACCTTGACTATATCTCACCCGAATTTGGAGATCATCTGAAGAACAGATTTGATACATTAGACACTAAAGACCGAAGACCAGAAGAGTTGTGGGATGACATCAAGAACATCATACATGAAGATAGCAAAAAGTCATTAAGAAGACAAGAAAGAAGGAAAAGGTCAAAATGAATGTCAGAAGAGACACTGAAACTTGCTCTCCAGTATAGAGAGGCTAAAGCAAATGGAAGAAATGAGGAGGTACAAAGCTGAACAGAAAATTTCAAAGATCAGCTCGAGAAGATAAAGCCAAATATTACACCAAAATGTGCAAAGATCTGGAATCAGAAAACCAAAAAGGAAGAACATGCTCAGCATTTCTCAAGCTGGGGGAACTGAAGAAAAAAATCAAGCCTTGACTTTCGTTATTGAAAGATTCTCTGGGCAAATTACTGAATGATGCAGAAAGCATCAAGAGATGATGGAAGGAATACAGAGTCACTGTACGAAAAGGAAATGGTTAATGTTCAACCACTTCAAGAAGTACCATATGATCAAGAGTCAGTGATACTGAAGGAGGAAGTTCAAGGTGCATTGAAGGAATTGGCAAAGAACAAGGCACTAGAAATTGATGGAATACAAATTGAAATCGTTCAAGAAAGTGAGGCGGCACAGGACGCACTCACTCATCTCTGCCAAGAAATTTGGAAGACAACTATCTGGCCGACTGATTGGAAGAGATCTGTATTTGCACCCATTCCAAAGCGGTGACCCAACATAATTCGGAAATCATCGGACAATCTTTTTGATATCTCATCCATGTAAAGTTTTACAAAAGGTAATACAGAAACAGCTATAAGCATACATTGACAGAGAACATCCAGAGGTTCAACCCAGATTCAGAAGAGGCCGTGGAATGAGGGATATCATTGCTGATATCCAATCAATCTTGGCTGAAAGCAGAGAATATCAGAAAGATGTTTACCTGTGCTTTATTGACTACGTGAAGGCTTTCAATTGTGTGGATCATGACAAGCTATGGACAACACTGCAAAGTATGAGTATTCCGGAACACTTAATTGTGCTCATGAGGAATCTGTACCTGGACAAAGAGGCAGTTGTTCGAAAGAACATGGGAACACTGAATGGTTTAAAATTAAGAAATGTGTGCAACAAGGCTGTATTCTTTCACCATACTTATTCGAACTGTATGCTGAGCAAATCATCTGAGAAGCTGGGTTATATGAAGAAAAACGTGGCATCAGAATTGGAGGAAGACACGTTAACAACCTGCGATACGCAGATGATACAACTTACTTGCTGAAAGTGAAGAGGACTTAAAACATTTACTGATGAAGATCAAAGAGCACAGCCTTCGGTATGGATTACACTTCAATACAAAGAAAACAAAAATCCACTGGACCAATAAACAACATTCTTATCAATGGAGAAAAGATTGAAGTTGTCAAGGATCCACTTGAGTGGATCAACTATCAACACTCACGGAAGCAGCAGTCAAGAAATCAAATGACGTATTGCATTAGGCAAATCTGCTGTACAAGACCTTTTTTAAGTGTTGAAGAACAAAGATGTCAGCTTGAGGACAAAGGTGCGCCTGACCCAAGCCATGGTATTTTCAATAACCTCATATGCATGTGAAAGCTGGACAGTGAGTAAGGAACACCATAGAAGAATTGATGCTTTTGAGGTATGGTGTTGGAGAATATTGAAAGTGCCATGGGCTGCCAAAAGAACCAATAGATCCATTTGAAAATAGCCAGAATGCTCCTTGGAGGCCAAGATGGCCACGTTTCATCTCTCATACTTCAGACATATTGTCAGGAGGGACCATTCACTGGAGAAGGATATCATGTTTGGTTAAGGTGGAGGGTCACAGAAAAAGAGGAAGACTCCCAAAGAGATGGATTGGCCAAGTGACAGCATTGATGGACTCAAGCGTGGCAACAGTAGTGAGGTTGGCCCAGGTTCAGGCAGTGTTTCGTTCTGCTGTGCATAGGGTCGCTATTAGTCGTTACCAACTCAGTGGCACCTAACAACACCACCAAAGGGCACATTTTGCAAGCTTGCCGCCTCACTGACAGCTCTCAGTCCCTCTCTTTCCATGAATCTAGAGCCCTCAGCTGCTCCCTCTCTCCATATCCCCCATCTCTGCCTCCATCTCTGGTGTCGCTACTTCTCTGGATAAGGTCTCACATTCCACTTGTGCTCTTCTACCTTGATGGTCCTAGGGTCCTTTATTTTTGGACTGTAAGATTAACTATACCTCCATTTTTGTTACAAAATTTCTACCTTTACAACTGTGACAATTGCAATTATGATAACAATTACTCATTATTGAATCATAAGAATCTTATCTACATCTCTTTTAACCAGACCCATCTAGACAAGTTGAAAACTATTCAGTAGGGCTCTTTCTTTCCTCACACACTATTAAACTAAACTCCCCCTTGAAACCTTGTAAGCCAGTCATTTCATGCCTTTTATCGCCCCCTCATTTTAGGTTACCCATCCCTATCCGTATCAGTTGGATGCTTCACTCTCAGCTCTAGATCTCTGTGGCTATGTTCTTGTCCATAGGCTCAGGTGTCCCCAGGTCTCAGCATATTTTGGACCAGCCCTTTTCCTCTCTCTCATCTCCAGATCCACAGGAGTCTGTGGAACATGGCTGAACTCAGCCCATTTCTTCACTGCTGCCTTTCCCCCTCTTCCACTCACCAGTAGATTCAACATGGGCACCAGCAAGCTTACATTCCTCCTCATGTGTTCCCTTTCAGTTTCAATCTTAGAGGGGGTTTTGTCCTGAAGGAACTTGATTGCTTGCCTTGATGGATTCCCGGCAAACAACTAAACTGCAATAATCTTAATGACAACAGATTCACAAGTCTTTCTTCCATGGTACTGCTAAGGTGGATTTGAACTACCAACCATTTGCACCACCCAAGAACAACACAGGCAAATCTGTTCCTATAACACTGATTATGTGGTATTCATTCATTGTTTCTTTACAATGAGATGCAATCCATATTGAAGGCTATGGTCTTTGATCTTCAGCAGTACGTATTTTAAGTCCTCTTCACTTTCAGCAAGCAAGGTTATATCATCTGCATATCACAGGTTGTTCATGAGACTTCCTCCAATCCTGATGTCATGCAAGCCTGCCTCCTGGCAGACTGGGTTATATTCTTCATATAACGCAGCTTCTCGGATTATTTGCTCAGCATATAGGTTGAATAAGTATGTGAAAGAATACAACCTTGTTGCACACCTTTCCTAATTTTAAACCATTCAGTGTTCCCATGTTCTGTTCGAACAACTGCCTCTTGTTCCAGATACAGATTCCTCATGAGCACAATTAAGTGTTCTGGAATATTTATACTTCACAATGTTGTCCATAGCTTGTCATGATCCACACAATCAAAAGACTCTGCATAGTCAATAAAGCACAGGTAAACCTCTCTGAAACTCTCTGCTTTCAGCCAAAATCCATCAGACATCAGCAATGATATTCCTCATTAGACGGCCTCTTTTGAATCCAGGTTGAACTTCTGGATGTTCTCTGTCAATGTACGCTTGCAGCCGTTTCTGTATTACCTTTAGTAAAACTTTACTCACATGGGATATCAAAGATATTGTTCAATGATTTCTGCAGTCCATTGGGTCACCTCTCTTTGGAATGGGCGCAAATATGAATCTCTTCCAATCAGTTGGCCAGAGAGTTGTTTTCCAAATTTCTTGGCATAGATGATAAATGCTTCCAGTGTCGCCTCACTTTCTTGAAAGATTTCAATTTTTATTCCATCAATTCCTGATGTCTTGTTTTCTTTGCCAATTCCTTCAATGCACCTTGGACTTCTTCCTTCAGTATCACTGGCTCTTGATCATATGCTAACTCTTGAAATGGTTGAGCATCAATCATTTTCTTTGGGACAGTGACTCTGTATATTCCTTCCATCTTCTCTTGATCCTTTCTACATCATTCAATAATTTGCCCAGAGAATCTTTCAATAATGAAAGCCGATGCTTGAATTTTTTCTTCAGTTTTGCCTGATTGAGAAATGATGAGCGTTCTGTTTTTCTAACTCCAGATATTTGCACATTTTGTTATAAATATTTGACTTTGTCTTCTCGAACTAAACTTTGAAATTTTCTGTTCAACTCTTGTACCTCCTCATGTCTTCCATGTGCTTTAACATTTCTACATTACAGAGCAAGTTTCAGTGTCTCTTCTGACATCCATTTTGATCTTTTCCTTCTTTCTTGACTTCTTAATGACTTTTTTCTTACTTCTTGTATGATGTTCTTGATGTCATCCCACAACTTTTCTGGTCTTTGGTCTTTAGTGTTTAATGCATCAAATCAGTTATTCTGATGATCTCTAAATTCAGGTGGGATATATTCAAAGTCATATTTTGGCTCCCATGGACTTGTTTTCATTTTCTTCAGATTCAGTTTTAATTTGCATATGAGTCATTGATGGTATGTTCTACAATCTGCCCCTGGCCTTGTTTTGACTGATGATATGGAGCTTTCCCACAGTCTCTTTCCACAGATGTAGTCAATTTCATTTCTGTGTATTCCATCTGGTGAGGTCCAAGTGTATAATTATATCTTATGCTGTTTAAAAAAGGTATTTGAAATGAACAAACTACTGGTTTTGTATAATTCTATCATGCAATCTCCAGCATCATTTCTATCACCAAGGCCATATTTTCCAACTACTGATCTTTCCTCTTTGCTCCCAACCTTTGCATTCCAATCACCAGTAGTCATCAATACATCTTCATTGCATGTTTGATTAATTTCAGATTGAAGAAGTTGGTAGAATTCTATTTCATCCTCACTGGTTTTAGTGGTTGTTGCGTAAATTTGAATAATAGTGGTATTAACTGGACAGTGAATAAAGAAGATCGTAGCTGAATTGATACATTTGAGTTATGGTGTTGAAGGAGAATATTGAAAGTACCATAAGCTGCCAAAAGAACAAACAGATCTGTGCTGGAAAAAAGTGCAGCCATTGTGCTTCTTGGAAGCCAGGATGACCAGACTTCGTCTCTCATACTTCGGACATATTGTCATAAGGGACCAGTCGACGGAGAAGGATATCGTGCTTGGTAAGTTGGAGGGTCAGAGAAAAAGAGGAAGACCCCTAGCGAGATGGACTGGCACAGTGGTAGCATCAATGAGCTCAAGCATAGCAATGATTTTGAGTCTGGCCCAGGACCGGGCAGTGTTTCATTGTGTTGTGCATAGGGTCACTATGAGTCGGTACTGACTCGATGGCACCTAACAACAACAACAATTCATTGTTTAGTTGTTCCCTTTTCTCTCTCAAATATGTGTTGAGTGCATATTTTCTGCCAAACAATGTCCAAGGCACAAGTGACACAGCAATGAACAAAGTACTTGTGCAGAGAAGGGGCGTTGCAAAGGCAAAGATAAGCAATAAACATGCAAAGCTCCATTATGGGGATAGAGAGTGTCAGGCCATATTACTTTAGGCAAGGCTTCAGGGTGGTCTTCTCTGATACCTGAGCAGAGACTTGAATGACTCAAGAAGTGAGCCCCTGTGGGAACTGAATCAGAATACGGTGAATACTATGAAAGAAGCCAGGGTGGCACCATGGTTAAAAGCACTTGGCTGATAACCTAGAGCTTGAATTCATCAGTTGCAACAAGGGAGGAAGATGTGCCACTATGCTTTCATCAAAATCTACAACCTTGGAAACTCGATGGGGCAGCTCTAATCTGTCCCACAGGGTCACTGTGATAGTGAAGATTTCCTGTCAATTTGCCTGGGTCAGCACCCTCGTGGTTTAGTACTTAAGATGTAGCTATCCCGGAGTCCTGGTGTGGCACTGTGGGTTAATGCACCAGGCTGCAAAGCCATTTGAATTGCAAGGTCGGCAGTTCAAGCTCACCAGCTGCTCCTCGGAAACCCTATACAGGGTCACTTCTATAGGTCGGAACCCACTCAATGGCACTTAACAACAACAACAACAACATCCCCAGTGAGCGGATTTACTATAATGCAATCACTTCATAATGAGACCTGTTATGAGCAGCTAATCAATTGAAAGGAAGTTTCCTCAGGGGTGTGGCCTGCAACATTTTTCATCTTACAAAGATAAAAGGATACAGAAGCGAACAAAGAGGGATCTAATCTACTATCACCAAGAAAGAAGACCTGGGGTCCCTGCACTGTGAAGCACCTAGATCCAGGGGAAGTCTGATGCCAAGACACATGGAGTTCTCCAAAGAATGCAGGACCTACTGATGCTGAAAAGAGATTAAGGACCTCTTTAGAGAGCCGGTGCACTGAATTTGGAGTTCTAGGAGTCCTGGTGTGGGGCTGTAGGTTAAAAAAACCCCACCATGCTTGTATTTAACAACAACAACAAACAAAGAATAAATGTGTTTGTTCAAACCATCCACTTGTGGTATTTCTGTTACAGTAGAACTCGAGAATCAAGATAGTCGCTCTGAGTTGAAATCGGCTCAGTAAAAGTGCTTTAGTTTTAGTATACTGGGACCTTTTCCCCTTGTCTTCCTGAGAAGAGATGGTATCTCTTATTTCTGTATCCACAGTGCCTACCACACAGACTTTAACAGGACAATTCTTATTCTGCAAAGCATCATGGGGCTTTCTATAAAAGTTCTCACCTGTGGAATGTTTCAGCCATTTTCCCCGGATTTTATAGCGCACCTCAGCTTTGGGGTTACTATCTGGTACCTTGCAGCCAATAAATCCAGTACTTTTTTCCTCGGCTGTAATAATATTCTTTGTTGATGAACCAAAATCACCAAGAACTAAAATAAAAAGTAAATTAAAAAGTAAATGTAAATCTAATTCTCTTTCCTAAAGGAAACTAAAATTAGAAACAGTATCTATAACATAGACTTTTGTGGGAGCCTCAGTCAATAAATCAAATGACGTATTTCATTAACCAATTTGCTGCACAAGACCTCTGTCAAGTGTTCAAGAGCCAAGATGTCAGTTTGAGGACTAGGGTGTGCCTGACCAAAGCCATGGTATCTTCAATAGCCTCATCTACATATGAAAGTTAGACAGTAAATAAGGAAAACTGTAAAAGAATTGCTGCATCTGAGTTATGGTGTTAGAGGAGAATATTAAAAGTACCATGGAGTGCCAGAAGAACAAACAAATCTGTGTTGGAAGAAGTATAAACAGAATGCTCCTTAGAAGCCAAAATGGCCAGACTTTCCCTCTCCTACTTTGGACATGTTGTCAGGTGGGGCCAGTCCCTGGAGAAGAATATTGTGCTTGGTAGAGGGGAGGGTCAACAAAAAGAGGAAGGAAGACCGTCAATGAGATGGATTGATACAGTGGGAGCAGCAATGGGCTCAAACATAGCAACAGTTGTGAGGATGGCGCAGGACCGGGCAGTATTTCATTCTGTTGTGCACAGCGTCGCTATGAGTCAGAACCTACTTGACTGCACCTAACAGCAGCAAAAACAACAATCTCAATCCAGGGAATAGAATGATCTTTTATCTCAGAAAGGCATGTGACTGAAGACTGAGAACTAAATCATGGCACCCTTTTCTAGAAGTCTTTGTTTCCAGAGGAACTACAGGAAAAATAAACTGCTCTTAAAACATCATGTGGGAAGAGCATAAAAACCATCAAGGAGAGCTATAAAACATAATTATTCCCATTCTGTCAAGATATATCCTTTTTGATACAGGCCCTCGACAAAGTCACTCTTTTTTTATGCACTACTATTCTGTTTAGCTATCTACATTACCATATTAACTTAGGACATGAAAAAAAAACAAGCAGTAATATGGTTTGAATTCTGTGACTCTATCAACTCTGGGTCTCAATTTCTCAGTTTAAGTTCACTACAGACGAAGGATGCATAGACAGGCTCATTACTCCAAAGCAGAGAGCATTCAGCAGCTGCCATAGGAATCCAGCTCTCCTGTGTGTGTCTTGGAGCCACGGGTCACAGCTCTGCAAAAACATTTACTCTTCTCAGTTATGACAAATTCACTACTCCTGGGGAATCCAGATTTGTTCTGTAAATAGGGGTGCCCTTACAAAGAAGTTTTCCACTACTGGAAGCCATCACCATTTGAAAGGCAGATGGTTCAAAGATTACTAAGAAAACCACTTGCTCCAGATTTTCCATAAGTTCAATTCTCAACATTCCTTTCGTCAGTTATTTTTCCCCCTCGCTGCTTTAGCCTGGTTTCAATTATTTAAATGAAAATCACTCAATAATCAAGGGAAATAAAACAATTAGACATGAAAGAAAGATAAAGAATTACATGAAATAACAGTGTGGAATAACAATTTAACAACAAAATTAGAGACTTAAAAACATACAAAGAAACTATTTACAATTCACATTAGAAAACTGTTCTTACTGTGTAACTTAAAAAAAAAAAAAAATGTCTACACTCTTGTTACAATTGAAGACACTGGGCCTGCGGTGGTGGGGTTAAGTTCATCTCCCCATGCTGTACTCAACAGCAAAGGAGTCAAGGCTGCAATGAGGACTCAGATATGTCTGACTTTTCACTATTCAGAAATTCAAGTACTGCACTAACAGGGAAATTTCAGGAAACATCATAAATAGCAGACACAGAATGAAACTCACCTGCTGTGGATATTGTGGCAGGACCACTCAAAATTGCACCGATGCTATTATTGGCAATGCACTGGTAGTAACCCGAAAGGGAGGGGTTAAGAGAAAGAATAGTCAAAGTCCCCTGATGAATCATAATCTGTTCCATGTTTCTATCCAACCTTTTTCCATTAAGTAACCATGAGATATGAACGGTCCCAGGCTTAGCAGAGCAATGTAGTACTACTGGTCCACCAAGTTTCTGGACAACAGAGAGTGGTTCCAAAATAAAAGAAGGTGTCAAGTCTACAAGGGGTGGGGGATGAGAGACAAAGAAAGAGAGAAAAAGACAGGAAAGACAGGGAGAATATTAAACACATTTCACCTAAAATTAAAGGCAATTCTTTATTTTATCTTAGATCTATCAAGGTTTTGAGTCCTGGTGTGGTGCTGTAGGTTAATGTGGCAGACTGCAAAGCTGTTTGAACTGCAAGGTTGGTGGTTCAAGCTCACCAGCTGCTCCTCAGAAACCCTATGGGTCGCTATGGGTCAGAACCAATTCGACAGCACTTCACAACAACAACAACATCATGGTTCTTAATACCTATAAAAGTTCTAGATAGCCCATTTTTGGAAGGCAAAAAAATAAAAATCAGTCTATGACTTAATAATCAGTGTAGAATAGACTAGAATCTGTATAAAATACCAGTTCTATTGATGGGGAATAGCAAACAGTTATTTTAAAGCAGTGACTTGCAAAATGGAAGTTTAGAATCTGAAAAAATACAACTCTATTTTTGACAGCAGGACTTGACTTTTGAGGACAAGTTATTCTATACACAAAGGCACCTCTTTACTACTTCCCTTCAATACAAAGCACTATTCAACTTTTAAGAAACTAGAAAATCAGGAAGTCACAGCTGAAATACAACGTCTATCCTTTTTAGATATAAGGTATCCTGGTGCGGCGTCATGGGTTAACTAATGCACTGGAGTGCAAAGTCGGTTTGAACCGCAAGTTTGGCAGTTCAAACTTACCAATTGCTCCTCGGAAACCCTACACAGGGTCAGGATGGGTCCGGTCGGAACTGACTCAACAGCACTTAATAACAACAACAATAAAGGTAACAAAGCTATGAATAGGACTGCTAACCTCAAGGTCAGCAACTTGAAACTATCAGCTGTTCTTCTGGAGAAAGAAGAGGCTTTCTGCTCCCGTAAAGATTTACAGCCTTGGAAACCCTGTACAGGGTCGCTATAGGTCAGAACCAACTTCACGGCACACCACCACCACCAAGGTAACAAAGTACTCTCAACATTGTATTTGGTGTTTGCAATAGTTTCATTTGTCTATCACTTCAGGAATTTAGGATGGGGGAGTTCTTACACTAAAGGAACAAAATGAGACTTTCTGTTTCCGCAAAGATTTACAGCCTTGAAAACTCTATATAGGGTAGGTAGAGAACGACTCACTGGCACACAACAACAACAACATACAAACAAAATAAAACAATACCACTTTATTAGCAAAGCACTTAAGTCCAAGTTTGTGTTTTACAGGATTAACAGGGGTAAAGCGTCCCCCCCCCCCCAACACTACTATTTCCCATACTTACCTGCACTTACAGAAGAGCACAGAATCAGAAGAGTTCCACACAGCAGCGTCTCTAAGGACCCAGGGTCTGGATGCATAGCGCCAGCTTACAGAAGCAGCAGGACAGACTTCCACAGCAAGACCCAGGCCTGGGCTCACTAGAAAACATAATAAAAAAGAAAATCTAAAACAACCAGCTGAATTATTTTATCTGAAAAGCCAGAGTTGTCAACATGATGGCTGTCCTATTCTGAAAGCTCAACAGACTATAATTTTAAAAAAATTTTATGTTAACACTGACTCATGGCTGACTGCAGGTCAGAGTGGAACTGTGCTCTTAGCATTTTCAATAGCTGGGTTGGGGTTTTTTTCTTCCAGAAGTAGTCTGCCAGGTCTTTCTTCTGAGGATCCTTTGCTATGCTCAAACCACTGACCTTAAAGTTGTCCCCATGGAGTGTATTAACTGTTGGCACCACCCGGAGACTTAGATATGTCAAACACAAAGAATTGTCCATATCTTCCCAACTTACAATGTAATCTCTGGATGCTTAATTGGAGATGGAAGTTTTGTTTGTATTTCCAAGGCACTAGGATACCTCTTATTACACTAGTTATTCCAAAAGACTACACTCAACTGCCTATGTTGTTGTTGATTCCGACCCATAGAGACCTTGTATAGGGTTTCCAAAGAGCAGCTGGTGAGTTTGAACCACTGACCTTGCAGTTCAAATGACGTTGCAGTCTGAAGCATTAGCCTACAACACCACACCAGGACTCCTATAGTACATTTGCATTTGTACATCTCACAAGCATCTAAAACATAACACAACCAAAATGCATGCCTCCTCATGTTACCTAAAATAATAACAACAAAACCAACAAAATAATAGCTTATTGTTGTGAAGAGCTATCAAGTCCGTTCCAATTCCTAGGGACCCTGTATAGGATTTCCAAGGAGCGTCTTGGTGAGTTTGAACCACTGACCTTATGTTTCTAACAACCTTGTGATCCAGTGCATTATCCTGCAGCATTATACAAAATAAGCGCCGTTGAGTCGGTTCTTACCCATAGGGCCCCTACCCATAGCACCCCTCTATGGGTTTCCAAGGAGCAACTGGTGAGCTTGAACCACCAACCCTGCAGTTCAAACTGACTTTGCAGTTTAGCACACTATATAATACTTGGAGTCCCTGTGTGGCGCTGTGGGTTAATGTGCTCCAGCTCATTGAACCTTGTGGTTCAAACCAAATGTAAGGTTGGTTTGAACCACAAAGTTGGTGGTTCAAGCTCACCGGTTCAAGCCCACCAGCCGCTTCTCAGAAACCCTATATAGGGTTGCTATGGGTCAGAACTGACTCGAAGGCACTTGACAACAACAATACTTAGCCTGTGCTAGATACCATTTAATTGTTTTTAGTATAGTAAGTTAATTTTCACAACAACCCAATGACATAGATACAACTGATTTTCTTTTACTGAAGGCAGACTCAGGCTCCTGGAAGACAAAGACAGTTCCCTACAGAGAGAATACTGAGTCTCTTAGAACACCAAAGCTTGGAATGTTTGCAGAACAGTAAAAAGACCAATGCAGTGAGGGTGAGAAGAGGCAGGAAATGAAAACTAGCAGAAAGCTGGGCCAGATCACATCCTGCTTTCAAAGCAAAGTGAAAGATTCTTGAATGTATTTTAATAACAATGCAAGCCCTTAGAATATTTAGAGAAGGGGAGTGGAAGTGATTTCATTCATGTGTTAAAAAGATCTTTGGCTGGTGGAAAGTAGACTGAAGTGGGGCAGGAGGGGAAAGCAAGGAGACCTTTCAGGGTACTGAAGTCCACTGTAGAATAAGCACCAACCAGGTTGCTAATCGCAAGGTCGGCTGTTCAAACTCACCAGCAGCTCCTCAAAAACCGTATACAGGCTCACTGTGATTTGGAATGAACTTGACAGTACTTAACAACAACAATCACTGTGGAAGTGGAAGGACGTGTTTGGATTCAGAATATATTCTTAACGTACACTACTGCTGGTGGTTTAGAAGTGGAGCATGAAGCAGAGACCTATTGAGGTTCTCTGCTGGTTTGGGTCCAACAGAATGAAATGGGAAGACAAGAGAGGGGAGAGGAGACAGACTGAACATTCCTAAACACCTAGCAGAAAGCGCATCAAAAGTTATGTTTTGGCCAAAGTTTAGGGTATCTATTAGACAGCCAAATACTTTTGTCAAGCACACAACTGATAGATGAGTCTGGAGCTGTGGGAGGAAGTCAGAGCTGGCTAGGCAGATTTTAGACCTAACACTACAGCAGCTCTCCATTAGCTGAATATGCAGATAGAGAAGTGGAGAGGCCAGACCACAGCCTTGGAACACTCCAACATTTAGAAGGTGAGTAGAGGAAAATAACTGTTAATGGAGGCTAATGAGAAAGGATGAGGAAATCCAGAATGCTGTGTCCAGAAAGGGAAAAAAAAAAACCTCTGGAAAAACAGCTATCTGCTGTCATCATATGAGACAGGAGGAACAGCAGAATGGGTATCACTGGTGATGGTGATAAAAGCAGTTTCAGTAGTACTGAAGGGACAGAAGCCTGATGGGTAAGCCCAGGGCAGGATGAGAAAAGAGGAACTCCTTCATGAGTTTTGCTGTAAAAGGGCAGCAGGAAAACTACTGGAAAGAGATGGCAGTTTAGGAAGAGCATATTTTTGTGTTATTTTAATATAGAGATAGTTGTTATTAAGTGCTGTCGATTCAGTTCTGACTCATGGCGATCCTATATGGGGTTTTCAAGGAGTGACTAGTGGGTTTGAACTGCCAACCTTGTGTAGTTCACTAGTCTACAGCACTATACCAGAGCTATAGAGCTAGAATAGCATATTTAGTAAATATTAAAAAAAAAATACTCACAAAACACAGTACTGGTAAGGATATGGGTAAAAATCACTATCATATATTGCTGGTAGAAATATAATTGGTAAATCCTTTTTAGGTGACATTGGCAATAACTAAAATTAATGTATCCATGCAATAAACATACATATTCAGTTCTAACTCTATCCTATGGGCTACTCTAGGTGCTGAGGCTAGAGCAATAAAAAAATAAAAACTAAAACTGACAAAAATGTATACCTTACATTCTAGAAGGAGAGCTGGACAAGAAACAAGATAAAATTAGAAAAATAACAAAGTTCATGTCATCTTTCAAATATGGTTAGTTTCTTCTCCTCTGTGTTACTGCTGTATATTTTGAACAAATGTCTAAGGACAGATCAAGTCTACTCTATCTGGTTACATAACAATCTGCTCTTTGTGGGCAGGAATGATATCATATTGAACTTTGCTACATTCTAATGCCTAGTAAGAAACCCATTACTGTCAAATCAATTCCAACTCATGGCATCCTGAATTACAGAGGAGAACTGTTTCATACCGTTTTCTTTGCTATAAGCTTTATAGAAGCAGTTTGCCAGGCTTTTCTTCTGTGGAGCTGCTGTGTGGATTCAAACAGCCAACCTTTAGGTTATCAGTCAAACATAAACCGTTGGCACCACCCAGGCTCCTAATGCCTAGCAGAAAGTAAACAATACCTTAATACAATAAACTGACAGAAACAAATCACCGAAATCTTAAGGAATAGTATTTAATGAGAATAGCCATTTTATCTGAATTCAGCATATTTTTTTAATTTCTTCATTCCTTACATATTCATATATATATACATAAAATAAAAGCATCGATAGAATGATAGCAAGTACCTACTATATGCCCAGCATTGTGCTACACTAAGGTTATGATGTCTACAAATTATCCCCATGTTTGACCAGGGCTGGGTACCGTATCTGTAGCCACAGAACACATCAAAACAGAAAAATTATATTAATGGCACTTTAGAAATCTATGTGCATATTCCTTTATCCCAAAGAAAATCTAATTCTAACCAGTGATAAAATGGGAGAGTACTGCAAAGCAAATATTTTTAAGTACTTTTAAAATAAATCAAATAAGACCTCCCAGGATCCATCCATATTCTCTATGACAGGTACTCCACAAGCTAAAATTTGCAAACACAAGTTTATCTAGATCATGGAATAGCAGGTCATGTACTGTCTTTTAATTTTTATCTTGCTGACCTCTTTTCAAAAGTGAGAGAAGATATTTTGATACCACTTGTTTAAAAGAGCGAGCCAGCTGTGTAAAATCTTTTTGGTTTATTTGAATTCTCACTGGGTTCAAAGGTTAAGAAGGGCCTCACCACTGGTAAGCAGTCAAGGCAAAGTAAACACTCAAATAACTTGTTAACAGGAGACACTTTCCTGAGAGAGTGAGAACAAGGAGGGCTGTTTCTTCCTTTTGCCAGATCTTTCCTCAACTATTTATTTATTAAAAGGCAGTAGACCATATATTGAGTCAACTTTAACCCTAGCACATAATCTACTAAATTACAATTGTCCTTTAAATTTTCACAGCTCATTGTTGTTACCTAATGTTGCCTTACACTAATCTCTTTTACTAGTTCTAGCTTCTTATTAACTGTCTCCTACCTGGAGTCTTGGAGCTCTGGTAGCATAGTGGTTACGAATCGGGCTGCGAACCTTAAGGTCAGCGGTTCGAAACTACCAGCCGCTCCGCGGGAGAAGATGAGGCTTTCTACTCCCGTAAGGATTTACACCCTCGGAAACCCTGTACAGGGTCGCTATGGGTCGGAACCAACTCGACAGCACTTAACAACAACAACAACAGCAACTGGAGTCTTGGTGTGGCACTATGGGTGGGTGGACAGCAAAGTCAGTTTTAACTACAAAGTTGGCAGTTCAAGCTCACCAGCTGCTCCTTGGAAACCATATATAACAGGGTCGCTATGGGTTGGAACCGACTTGATGGCACTTAACAATAACTGGTGTGGCACTGTAGGATAAGTACTGAACCACAAGGTCAGTTTGAGCTGCAAGGTCAGCAGTTCAAACTCACAGCCACTCCTCTAAAATCCCTATCTATACAGGGTTACTAGGAGTGGGAATGGACTCCATAACAACAATGACATACTTTCAGTTGATCTTGGCATTTGGAAAGAACTGATGGTCATAACGGATATTCATTAAACA